TCCCTGCAGACCACGTCAGCAGCTTTGGGACCGAAGCGTGAGTCACAGACAGTTTTCCACAGGTCACCATCACGGATCTCCACATGTCCTGAGCAGTGGCTCTTCCCTTCCACCAGTCGGAATAATCCTGAAGAAATCAACTGAGAGCCCTCTGGCAGTTAAATGCCCACATCCCAAATCACCTCCAAGGAAGCTGTGACCAAATCACCCATTGCATCTGCCAGAGGAATCTGTTGAGGGAGTGTTGATGACACAAACACATCCAGGCCCATCAGCATCTCTTTTGTACATCATCATAGCACTCAACGGTATGTGTCTAGCACAGACCCACAGCAGACCCTGCAGACCATGTCAGCACCTTCAGGACCAAAGTGCGAGTCACAGACAGTTTTCTATTGTCTCCGTCATGGATCACTATACTTCCTTTCCAGAGGCTATTTATTCCTTCTGACCAGTCAAACAAATCCTGGAGCAACCAAAAACCCCTGAGAGTTCCCACAATCCTCTTGCAGTGCCCTGACCATGTCGCCTCTGGTCTCCAAGGTGGTAAAAAGCCAAAAAGCCCCATGACCACCCTAGCTACTCTCACTAGGGTGCGGGCCACCCACTGCTACTCTTTGGAATTCAGCCCAGCTCTCCTGGGCACGCTTCTCTCCTAAACCAACAGCCACAGGCACCGCTTGGACAAACTGCTGCTGCCCCAGACACCTTGAGCTGCCCTGATCTGGTCCCTGGGCACTACAGCCCCCAGAGAACTTGGGGTCCAGGGAAATGGGCCCAGGTGCTGTTGGCTGTTGCAGCTTGCCAGGGTCCTACTGAGCTTAGGGCCAGGTTTGAGGAATCCATTTTGTGCCACCAGAAATGTATTCCGTTCCAATGGGGGTCTGGGGCTGTTGGTGGATGGGACATGTCACAAGGCAAAAATATAGTGAGGCTGCACCTGTAGTCAATGTCTGTGCCACCATCCTGCTCTGTCATCTACTCTGGAAAGAGGTCCTCAGCCATGGCTGGAGCACACTACTGGGCATGCATGTCCCCTCCTGGGCAGCCATGTCCTGGGCCAATGGCTGCGCAGAGCGCAGGAGAGAAGACAGTAAAGCAGTCGTGGGTTTCCATGAACTCCCAGTGCAAGGGCAGGCACAGACGAGAGGCAGTAAGTGCTGACAAATCCCCTGTGGCACAGGACAACCAGGGACTGGGGCAGGCAGGAGAGGCTGGGCAGCAGGTCAGCACTGCCTGGGCAGGGCAGTGTCCCTGTGGGCAGGCTCTCATGGACTGACCCTGGGAGAAGGAGGTGCCACATGCCACCCTGCTCTTCTGCCCAAGTCCAGCGCTCTTCCTCTCTGAGCAACCTCTTTGCTTTTGCCAAGGGACTTGTGTCTGCCACAGAGCACACAACCCAGAAGCAGCTGGCCATCTCGCACCCTTCCCTGGGACTGGGTGTGGCCGCAGGTCACTCTTGGTGCCTCTGACATGGGAGGACCTGGCCTTCATCACTGCCAGATAGATCCTGGGAAAACAGGAGAAGAAAGATGGGAATTGAGAGACAATGCAGGGCAGGGTGGGGGATTCATCTGAGCCACCTCAGGGGCCAGGCAGGGTATGGGCACCCTTGGGCAGGTTCTCACTGGGCTTTCCCCAGGGACTGGAGACACCCATAATGTCAGTTCCAGCTCATCAGTGCGACCAGCCACATTGGACAATGTTCTGGTGCCTGACTGTTGCATCCTGAGTGCAGAGTCACGTTTCCTCCACAATCTGAGCACCAGAGGTATGGAATAGGCTGTCCTCTTACCTGAACACATCACTCCAGCGTCTTCAATGTGATAACAGTCCTGTTCACCCCATCCTTCATGTGTGCAGTCAGACAGGGTAGACTCTGAGCCTTTACAGTCAACCTCATCCATCCAAATGGGGCCAGATCCTGGACCAAAGTGTCCATACTGAGGAGCTCCAACAGCAGACCCGCAGTTCAACTGCTTACAAACCACTTCCGCATCGTTCATGTCCCAGTCATCATGACACACGGTGCCCCACTGGCCCTCATGTTTCACCTCCACTCTCCCAGCACAGCGCCTGCCACCATCCGCCAGCCTCACCTCCGCAGCGCCTTCAAACATCAACATGAGATCGGTTAGGAGAGCGCCAAGGTCCAGCATTATAGGATTGAAGGAACTCCCTGCTAGTGTGAAGTCAGGGTGTCTCTTCCATCTGAGCTGTCCTCACTGCAGTGCAGGGGTCCCTTCCATCCTCACAAGGCTATGCAAGGCTGGGGGTGTACAGTTCTGGCCCTGCTGGGTCAGTTGTGGCCCCACAGACTTTGGTATCTCCTTCCACCCCAATGGCCCCGGCTCTTGCCCCCAGCTCATGCCCGCCTAGGGCACCTGCTTCTCCCCAGCCAGCACCCTGAGATCTGCTTCCCACAGTTCTCCCCGAAACACACACTGCTGCTTCTCCCCAGGACTCCCACCTCCCCTGGACCACAGTCTAGTCTGCCCTGCAACCCTCCCAAACCCCCCCAGCTCATCCACTACCCTCAGCCCTTTCTGTGTCCCCTGTGGAGCAACACAGTGAGACCCCTCAACACATGCCCCCTCCTTGTCCTTGGGCATCAGCCCAGCCCTGCCCGTGTCTAGGATCCCCCAGGAAGGTCACCTCTTTGCAAGTCTGTGGGAACAGATACCCTTGTTCACTTGTCTCCACAAGCAAAACCTACGCCTCCTCAGGCTGACCCCAGGGCAAGAGGGAACAGCCCACATCCCCTCTGGGCTTCCCCTGAGGCTGGGTGTGCCTCTGGGATCACAGAGCAAAGAGCCACAGCCAGCTCACAGGGCACAGTACTGGCACAGCAATGGCTCCAGGAAAGGTGTCCGAGGATGGCACATCCATGGACAAACCCAAGGACCAACAGCCATAATCATGGGAGCCCTGGCAACAGAAATGCCCTTCTCCCATTCAGAGAAGTACGGGGTCATTGAACTTGGGCACCTTCTACCCCACGAACACTCATACATGGGAAGAAGACCCATTTCCAGAGGGATCACTGTGGTGCTCCTTGGCCTCAGGACTGGGGGACAAGGGAGCAAGCATTTACCCTTGCACAGCTGCATTCAGAGGAGAAGGTACAGTGACCAAGGGGACAGAGACCTTCTGTCCCCATCCTGAAGCTTTCTGTAGATGTTTACCAAATTCTTGAGGATAGAACAGAAGCAGAATAATGGCTTCAGTGTCTTTTCCTGCAGAACTGGTGACTGCAGAACAGAACATACCCCTCCTGTCCTCATGCCTGGCCCAGCACGGGCCGTGCTCTGTTCCCCAACCCTCAGCACAGCCCCCGTGTTCGACACCCCACCCCGAGTCCTTACATGTGCAGGTGACAACAGCGCTGTTCGCGTGGGTGCAGGGCTGGTCCCTGGGGGAGCCCCTGGGGCAGGAGTCGAGGAGGGATTCATTCTCCACACACTGCAGCTCTCCATCCCACGTGGGACCAACCCGTTCTCCCAAGTGAGCTCCCTGAGCGACGGGCAGGGCCACACCACACTGCAACTCCCTGCAGACCACGTCAGCAGCTTCGGGTCCAAAGTGTGAGTCACAGACAGTTTTCCACAGGTCACCATCACAGATCTCCACACATCCTGAGCAGCGGCTCTTCCCTTCCACCAGCCGGACAAATCCTGGGAAAAAACAAAATAACTGGCAGTTCCCCGAGCCTGTGGCAGTTAAATGTCCACATTTCACATCACCTCCAAGGAAGCTTTGACCAGGTCAGCTGCTGCACATCCCAGAGGAAGCTTTTGAGGGAGTGTTGATGACACAGACACATCCAGGCCCATCAGCACCTCTTCTCTACATCATCACAGTACTTAAGGATATGTGTTTGTTACAGCACCAGACACAGCTCAGACAATTGCTGCTCTACAAGGTGCCCTGTGCTGCCTGGAATGGTCCCTCATCACTACAGTGGTGTGCGCAGTTTGGGTCCTGAAGAATAGGCCCAGATGATAATGACTGCTGCAGCCTGCTTGGTCCATGCACTGCTTGGACCCCAGCAGGGCCATCACCTTCACTCAGTCAGAAATGCAGCCAGCTCCCAAGGGTGTTCTGGGGTGTTGGGAGGTTCCAGTTAGTGGGGAGACATCACAGAGCACAGAAATGGTGCAGCTCTTACCATGGCTGGTGCCTTTCCAGACCCCTCTGATGCCTTGTCAGAGAAGGTGTCCTCCACTCCATGTGGCAGGAGACCCCCTGGGCTCACGCTGGCTCATAGGGTAACAGCAGGCACTGATCAAAGTCAGTAAGTGCTGGCAAAGACCTTATTTATAGGGAAGTGTGAGGAGACGAGGGCTGGCAGGAGGAGTTGGGCAGAAGGTCAGTGCTACCTGCATGTGACCATGTCTGTGCAGGGCTGTCACAGCCCCCGGGATGTCTTACTACCAGCCTGTGCCAGCAGTGGTGCAGGAGAGAGCACCCAGAGTCAAGCAGCTGCAGAGCTCCCAGACCTCGCAGTGCTGGACAACACAGCTGAGCCCTGGGGACAGGCAGTGTGCTGGGTTTGGCTGGGAAAGAGGTAACTTTTTGGCAGGAAGCTGAGAGAGGACACAGTGCAGGCAGCTGACCCAGCCTGGCCAGGGAGATATTCATATGGCCATATTCATATGGCCATGTGACCTCATGCTCAGAGTATATCTTGGGGGAGACAGCTGGGGGAGGGAATTCGCTTCGTGAGGCAAGAGGGAGTTGAGCTCCGGGTTCCACATGGTGAGCAGTTGTAGCACTTGTTTTGTATTGTTCTTGCACTATTGTAGTTATTATCCCTTCTTGGATTTCTTGTATTGTCCTACTAAATTGCCTTTGTCCCAACCCACCAGTTTATGCCCCTTTCTTCTCAATTTTCTCTTCCCCACCCCACCCAGGGGGAGGAGTGCACAAGTGGCAGGGTGGTAGCTCAGCCCCGGCTGGGCTAAACCACGACAGTCCTTTTGGTGCCCAACGTGAGGCTCGAATGGTTGGGATAACGGCAGATTCAACTACAGCGCGTTAAACCAAATCTGTTACACGTGTCATTGTATTAGTTAAACAGTCGCTGGTCATAAAGTTTTGGTTGCTCACATGGTTTTCTGTAACTCCTTATGCGCCCCGTGTATTCGCTGCGGTGAGGTTTGTCATGGCTGGGAGAGAGATCAGGGCTTTCATTTTGCTGTTCTGTGTAACAGCGACTTATGGTACAACAACAGTGCTGGCCACGAGGCTGAGCTGGTCTGCATATGTGGCATTGGCATCGCGCCCGTATCTCGGGTGCCACCTCTTGGGGTTTGTTGATAAATGTGCCAAATCTACAGGGAAAACAGGAGAGGATAGTTTCCTCAATTTCTTCACCCCGCCCTTTCTCGTTCAGGCTAATTACAACAGCCTTTGAGGATTTTGAATATTCTGGAGCGTTCTAGGCAGCACAGCCTTATTGCTCTGTCTTCCAAAGGTGTTTCAGGTCTTGTTCGGAGTTAAACAGAGATCCGCCCTGAGGCCACATAGTTATGAGTGGCAGGGTGTGTGGGAGAACATGGGCAAATGCCTAAGATGGTTGACACCTCCAGCGTTTTGGAACTTTACCTCTGAACAAGTGCAGAATCCTGGAAAACTAATAGAATGCTTGGGAAAAGTGTGCTCCCACCCTGGCAATCCCTGGGAGACACAGATCAGTGCAACGTGCTGGAGCCTGGCCCACGCCTACCAAGTTGCCTTGCTTAACACCCTTCAGCACCCGCAAAGAGGAGAGGAGGTCCCTGAATCTGACAGCAAAACGGCAGAAACTGTGTCTACTCCATCCTCCATGAGAGGCACTGCAGGTGAACCAGAGAACCCACCTGTTTCAGTATCAGTCGCCCATGTACAGAAGAAGTGCATAAAGAAATCGGTTCACTTAGTGAGGGATGAAGATGAACCAGGGCCATCACAAGAACAGGAGTGCCTGTTTCAGCTGACACTGAAACAAGAACATTGTCACCTGGCTGCTCCGATGCTAGGATAATGCAGCATTTTTGCTTTCACACTGGATAGCCCCTGTGGGACCCTCCCGGGTCTGGTGTGAAAATCTTCACAGCTGTGCTGAGGTTCCCCCCCGAGCAGGGGTGACACACAGCCTTTTCCACGTGCCTCCTCACCTGGCCGCTGCTTGCCAGCCCCTGGAGCCCTCCTCCATCTCCTCCCCACCTGCTGGTGGCCGTTCTGTTGTCAGTGGTGCCTCCAGCTGTGAACCCCCTCATCTCCAGCATGACGAACCAGGAGCTCAAGGATGCAATTAGGAAAGGGCTTACCTGGAAGTTTTTGCCATAGTGATAAACTCTCCATTCTCCCTCCACAAATGACTCCCAGGACATTCCATCCAAAACTAGTGCTTTAGTGTGTTCTCCTTATTGCTACCATTATCATTAGCATGAACTTCGACATTGATACTTGTGGTTCTTGTGTTCCCAGAGAAATGTTTGAACTTTTCTCACTCCTCCAGAGTCATGAACCTGCTT